TTGTTCTATGATCATAAAAGATGTAGGGATGGTGTCATGTTGATTTGTGTGTCTTAGCTGTGTAATGACCACTTGTTCTTTCTTTTTTGGTGGTTTGAGCCATCCCTATATCCCCCTTCATTTTGAAGAAATGATTTTTCCATTTGTAATACTGACATACATTCCAATGCGCAGCGCGTTGGTTAGCGCGCAATATAGAGTAAGCCACCGATAATCGGACGCCATGTATTCTCGGACGCATTTGTGAAGTCTGTGCAGGACTAGATTGGCTACTGTGTATACCAAAGTGTAGTTCTTGGTCATAAACTGTTGTATAAAAATATTCGCTCTTATCCGAGCTTTACCGTGGGAATGACGTTGCCGTAAAGTTACGATTCGGGCACAGCAAAGTTCGGACAAGGCCATCAAAGGTAGGACAGTCTCCCAAAACGGGAACAGTATGAATGATCCAAGCGAGTGTATGCTCGATTGATAGCTGTACCTTTTGGCTATGCAGCGACCCACAAATGGCCCTTTTTTGTCTTCGCTATTTTTGCTCACGAAAGCGCAAATAGGCGGGGTCGCGTAAGCCGCGTTTTACGCGAAAAGCAGTTTTCGGCTTGTTTCTTCTAACACACGCGCCGGATGAAGCTATAAAATTTTCTCCTCGTTCTTCTTGCCTTATATTAGATGCCTGCACCACGATTTCCGTTGTTGTAAGATTTTAATTTTTTGTAATTACCAATAATATTTTTTTTGTAATTACCAATAAAAAGTTAGATCTCACAAAAACGGAAATCGTGCTGCAGGCATCTAATATAAGGCAAGAAGAACGAGGAGAAAATTTTATAGCTTCATCCGGCGCGTGTGTTAGAAGAAACAAGCCGAAAACTGCTTTTCGCGTAAAACGCGGCTTACGCGACCCCGCCTATTTGCGCTTTCGTGAGCAAAAATAGCGAAGACAAAAAAAGGGCCATTTGTGGGTCGCTGCATAGCCAAAAGGTACAGCTATCAATCGAGCATAAACTCGCTTGGATCATTCATACTGTTCCCGTTTTGGGAGACTGTCCTACCTTTGATGGCCTTGTCCGAACTTTGCTGTGCCCGAATCGTAACTTTACAGCAACGTCATTCCCACGGTAAAGCTCGGATAAGAGCGAATATTTTTATACAACAGTTTATGACCAAGAACTACACTTTGGTATACACAGTAGCCAATCTAGTCCTGCACAGACTTCACAAATGCGTCCGAGAATACATGGCGTCCGATTATCGGTGGCTTACTCTACAACACGGGAACGCTGATTGCTAACCCAACCTAAATAACCTGGGCCCGGAAAACGTGCAACTGAACCGCAACTGATTTCCGTTTTTCCTTATTACAAAGGCCCAGGTAAGTCAGTATAGCTAACAGTGAGACCACCGCTTTCCCGTCACTATCCGCGCATAATATCAAACGCGCGCGCTAAAAACATCGCACAATAAGAATGCGATGATAAGACGCTTTGCAAAACGGCGTTTTAGCTAAAGCGCATAGACTATCCACCAGAGCGCTTTAGCACGGTGCACTTTATAAAGCTAAAGCGAATTTATCGCTGCGTCTCATTTTTTATGGTGCGCCAAATGGGAAAAAACTCGTTAGTGCACGCACGCTTTAGCTTACGCGCTAAAGTGCACGGATTACGCGCTAACGCAATCGTGTTCGCCTAGCATACCTCGCTAAAGCTAAAGCGCGGTCGTCTAATGCGTCTAAGCGCTTTAGTCAAAACATCACAACGCATTACTTATCGCGCTCCGACATCCCGCAATTCAACCCGTGTTTGAAAAACTGGTTCGTTTGTAATGCGCAGCGTGTTGGTTAGCGCGCAATAACACCAGAGCGCTGATTGGTTACCAAACATGTTTTTAGCCAGTTTTCCCAATGCACCTAGTGGGCCCGGAAATCGTTCGCACGCTCTGCAGTATCCCGCGCGAAAAAAAATCCGGGAATGGAGCATTGATGCGCGATGGGCAATGCGATGTCAAGACGCGTTGAAAAAAAAACGTTTTAGCTAAAGCGCATAGACTAGCAAGCAAATCGCTTTAGCACGGTGCACTTAGCACGGAAATAAAGTTAGACAGCATGGTTTAGGCGCGTAAGCTAAGGCGGATTTATCGCGTTAGCGCGTAAGCTAAAGCGTGCGTGCACTAACGAGTTTTTTCCCATTTGGCGCACCGTACAAGACGTGTTGCTTTAGCTAAAGCGCAAACAGCAAAGAGCTTCAGTTTAGCACGGAAATAGCAGCGTTAGCGCGTAAGCCATGCAAAGCATTTCGCACACCATACTCGCGGATATTACGTCGTCCTAACGCGTATTCGCCGAGGTTCTTGAAAACACGAGTTTTTCAGCTGTAGCCTTTGTTTCTCTCTATAGCTAAGCTATACGTATGCATCACTCGAATAGTCCCTCAATATAGCCATACACTTTCGCGTCATTGTGGGGCCATGGTCAACCAGTGCAAAATCCATGCTGCGGCGCAACGCTTGCACGTATAGCTACGTGGCAACACTCTAAGCAAGGCGTTCACTCCGCTCACCTCACTGTGTTGTGGATCACCATGTTTAGACTAAGCTCGGGCTACCGGTCGCAATAGCTGGCTACTCCATCAAAATTTATCCAGTTACTGCAAGCAAACCTGTTTGAGCATGAACGGCAGGAAAGAGCAGCAGTCCAGCAGCCAGTGCCATAACCGCGGCCATATTGACCAGCAGCACTTTCATCTCCACAAATTGCCTCCGAGACCGACCAGCCTTCGCACTTAGCAAAAACAAGGGCGATTTGATTCCGGTGTAGCTAAAGCTCCTTGCCGACTGTAACTGTGTGAGTGGCTCTGGGCATATTTATATAGCTCCATCTGTATATAAGTGCAGGGACAGGCTAGCACCAGAAACAATATGATACTATAGGTATGCATACAATAGCTATAGGGAAAAGTTCATGAGAATGTTAGATATCCTATAGTGACAGGAAGGTACTGGCCTACCTGGTGTATTGGGAAAGACTAATTGAAGTGTAACCCGATAGAAAGGAAAGCCAATTACCGAGGCAGAGGTTTACGTCTCCCTTCATAACAACATAGTTGACTTGATTTAGGTTGCCAGACTCGAGTGCAATCCACTGCACCTGTGAAATGCTAGGTCAACACGCATAGCTAGATTTTGAAAGTTCGAGGATAAGATGGCGTTCAGTGCATTAGCTATGTGTATGCCACTCGCTCGGTGTGTTAGTTTATAGTTATGCTAGTTCTTTTACCTCGTGGGAAAGATCTAAAAGCTACGTAGGTGCTAACATAATAAAAATGATGGCACAACAAAAAACATGACGACTTTGAGAGTCTCCTATGATTCTGTGTGTTGTGTCTGATAATGATCGTGTCCGATTGTGTACTGACGTAGTTTTGACGCCATGGGTATCTCCTTAAATAACAAATAAACATGTATTAAGTAGCTATTAGCACCAATTTCTTAACCCCATAGATTCTTATTGACTTATTGAAGCACGGAACATGCATATTTGTGCAGCTAGGTGTTTGGTGTTAAAATGACTTTGTTCCACTTTTGACTTTTAAGCTATAGCTAGAGCTATTTGGTCGATTTTTGGTCTGCTAAAATTGGAACAGATCTGTTTTTTGCAGCATAGATCCACGTTTTTGACAGCAAAAATGTGATGGTTTGGCATGCCAAACTTTGGTCGACGGTCCTGTTTTGGTGATCCCCTGGCCACTGTGTGACAACCCAATGCCCTCGGTGCACTTGAAACAAGATCTGTAATTGAAACCTCTTCATTCTTGACTGATTATTTGTTGTCATTCATTTCCAAAAACTCTAGGGGTGTATAGGATTGGGTGACATGGAAACCATCTTGTGGTCCTTCTGACACTGAAATAGAGGCAACAAAATGTGGTAGCTAGACATTCTAGAGGTGCTGCCTTGCAGAGACATGAATATCAGTGTTTTCATCCTCGTATGGTAACTGTGGACAGTGTCATGTGTGTCACCTTCCGTGAGAAATGCCTCTTATGCAGTTTAGTTTCTCTTAGCCTGAGACTCGTTTCTATAGCTACAGTTCAAACTGTTACAGCAAAGCTCCAAACAGCAATACTATAAACAGCTACACTACATAGGACCAAAGACCACACATCCCAGCAGAGCAATGATGGGGAGTAGCTAGCTACACGCAGTGGTGCTAAGCCAACGTAGTGCGAAACCTTGGGGCACTACAATGAAGGTATGTAAAGCGAAACGTCCGCATTCCTTGCTGAGTATTTGCAGCCATTCATTTCCCAAAACTTTAGGGGTTGTAGAAGGATTAAGTGACATTGAAGCCATTTTGTTGTCCTTCTTACAATGAAAATAGAGGTAACAAGAGTACCCAGCAATGCCACTGCCCCCGGCACCATCCCCAGCTCATCCCCAGATGAGTTCTCATTGGGATTTTCATCACACAACACTTAGCCTTCATATTAGCTACCCAACAATACAAGACACCTAAAAGTGATTCCGTACAGACATCTAAAGAAGAACGATAATATTATCAGGCACGTGTATGTGACCCCGCCTTGTGGGAACGACAATAAGGACAATTATTGGTCACTGAATAGCCAAAAGCGCTATCAATCTATCATTAACTTTCGGCGATTGTTCATACTGTTTGACAACTGTTTTCCAATTGCCTACCTATACAGATCAACACACGCAGAGGGGGGGGGGTTATGAAAATGTGTCTTTCCATATGTCTGCTCGCCGCACGCACTTCATTGCCCGTTAAGTAGGTGGTATCCTTCGTGAGGCGAACGAACACTCGAGAAGTGAGATGGAGAGTAACACACACACCACGCGCACACACACACACACACACACACATGCATGCCCGCAAACACTGATGTGAGATCAATACATTGGTCAAACTCTCCAGGTTCTGTTTCACTCGCCCTTGTAATACTGAGCCCAAATTCAGTGACAACATTGTCAACAGATGGACCTGTTCCTTCAAACAGTACAGTTGCACTATTCCCATCTACAGTTGCCTGCTCTACTCCTCCATTGATTTGATGTACATCACATACTGAGACGTCTGTTGTGAGAGTAACCACAACTATCAACATTACCCTATACACCACCATTGGCTCACCAGATCGAAGAATACGGGACAGTGTTTGACTGTTTCCACAGAAGCCACTGGCTGTAATAAACAGAGTGTGAGCACTATTTCGCTCTTGTGTGAAGGACACAGAATTTTCACCTAGCAGAGATAGACACTTTAAGACATGAAAATGAAATAGGCAGAGTGGCTCACAGGCAATAGATTCTCCAGTTTGACGTACGGTACACATTGTCTGATTGATGCAGCCCTCAATCAGAAATTCTGAGCTTATATTGAAACGAGTAGAATCTGGAGTATTATTGATGAATTCAATCCTGGGCTCTATGAGGAACACACAGGGCAGGGTTGAGTGATGAGCTGCTGTATTATAGTGGCAGACCTTCATTGTCATAGATGGTAACAGTAGACGTGTTTGGTGAGACAATAATGACACTGGGATCAGATGTGCTCAAGACAACAGTAAGGGTCTCATCACAGCTTTCCCTCTCCATGTCATCTTCTATGGTGATGCTCAGACAAGGAATCTGCTCTCCCACAACCTCTACACTAACATCTTCATAGTCTTCCGGAGCTACAACAACATTCAGGTAAAAGCCAAGGATAAATCAACAACACCCTTAAGGTGTATGTATACCAGTGGCAGCTCCTGGATTTGTTGCAAGAGTGAAAGAGGAAATCACACTCCCACCAGTGGCAGCAGCACACACCATCAGGCTTCCCACACCCTCACACACATTATATTCAGCCAGTTCCAACTGTAACATCTAAAGCGGAAGTTTTGAGAATAGTTTGGGCCATATATACAACATGCAGCAAGCCGAGCTAACTGCTGTTTAGCGTCAAGCTAAACAACAAACTGGACTCCGTATGATTATGTGCAATGTGTACTTGATGTTTAATTAAGAAAATGGTATGTCAAGAATGCTTTGAAAATGAATAGCTAATGAGGTTCATTTTGGGCTAAGACACCTACTCCCAGGTCTCTTAGGGATAAGACACCTGCGGTTAGGTGTCTTAGTTCTAACTAAGACCCTCCCGTTTACAGTACGCGCAGACCGGGGCGTCCAGAAGCGACGATCACGAGCTGAGACTGCTCAGACAAGGCCCTGACTCGAACAGTTGCGATGCTGCTAATAACAGTGATTCTCACTCATCGTCGACGAAGTCTTAGACAGTGCCCGGTGTGGAATCGGCAGGCCTCTCCCTTGCCGGGCTACCGTCGAAAAGTTGAGGCGCCGCCGCTAATAGTCAGTACTTACCAGCATCGACGCAATTGTGGATTGCGCCCGGTATCGGCTTGGGAGAACTCTCTTCCCCGGTGCTTTCTTCAAAGAGCTGCTACCAACCAAGGTTGAAGGCGGGCGAGCTACAGCCAACCGTACGGCTATCCATTTTCTTAACAAGTAAGACGGCAGATTCGAGTGTCTTCGTGGTTCTGCAGCCCGCGTGGTCGGTTGGAATGACGCAATAGAAACCTCGGCTCCGCCTCGGTTACTATTGCGCATTCCAACCTCCCACGCGGGCTTTAGAACCACGAAGACACTCGAATTTGCCGTCTTACCTATACGAAGACTGTTTATTGAACTCAATGTCATATCCTCGATGGAGAAGTGTTGCAAAATAGGTTCGGCATTATGCGTGATCTGTTGCCTTGTCACTCCTCATGATGAGTGATACACTCATAAATAGCCAAGGGTCCCAAGGCTAGAGTGGCAGGGTTTAGAGTGAGCTAGGTTTGAATTGACCGATCAGATTGCAAAGGCGAGGTTTACTAAATCCCGTAGACGGGGTTTACTAAATAGTAAACCTACAGAAGCTACAAAACCTACAGTTAAAACTGGAAACAACAAAATGTACATGTAATCAACAACTGAATCGCGGCGTCCACGCGCACGCGCAGACCCCCCTGCGCGCAGAACCGTCACGCGCGCACAACAGACCCAGTCTCAGATTGCGTCAGAGGAGCTGCAGGGTGTCGCTGGCAGAAGGGGTGAGTTGAGGTGTCTGAGACAGACACCTCGTGTAGTGTATGTTCGTTTGTTAACAGTTCCGACCATTGCTCTGGGTGCGTGGTCTATGGAATGGCAGCCACCTGAGTATTATTATCGAGGTCGAGCATGTGTCCATAAGTGAGAAATGTATTCTCTAAGACACAATTGCTCTATGGTCAGAGCAAGTTCCTCATTTGTAGCAGCTCATAGCTACTATAATATGCAAAACACATTATTCTGGTTATTATTTATTATACATAGCAAAGCATGGAACTATACAATACTAAAAATCTGCTACAAACTACAATCTAATAATCTGCTCTGCATCTTTAAGAGACATCTCCGGAGAGTGTCAATTAATAAAAATGTCAAAAGTAAATGTTCGTTGTAAACGCCTGCGGCACAGACTACTGTCAACAGATGGCTCGATCGGCTGAACTGCAATGGCCCATTTGCCACTGGAATCAAACCCAGACACAGTCACCTCTCCATGACCAACTATAGGATAGCTAATAGATAACAAGAAGAACTGTGGTGATAGCTATAGCCCAACCATTATCCACAGAGCATGTCACAGTAAATGGAGAGGGAGCCTGAGTAGCTGCTGTAGAGCACATGAGGCCAGTCACGATATTCTCAAACTCTCCAGCACTCTCCCTTCTAATGCTGAGCCCAAAATCAGTGACAACATTGTCAACAGATGGACCTGTTCCTTCAAACAGTACAGTTGCACTATTCCCATCTACAGTTGCTTGCTCTACCCCTCCATTGATTTGATGTACATCACATACTGAGACGTCTGTTGCGAGAGAAACCACAACTATCAACATTACCCTGTATATACACCACCATTGGCTCACCAGATCGAAGAATACGGGACAGTGTTTGACTGTTTCCACAGAAGCCACTGGCTGTAATAAACAGAGTGCGAGCACCATTTCGCTCTTGTGTGAAGGACACAGAATTTTCACCTAGCAGAGATAGACACTTTGACACATGAAAATGAAATAGGCAGAGTGGCTCACAGGCAATAGATTCTCCAGTTTGACGTATGGTACACATTGTCTGATTGATGCAGCCCTCTATCTGAAATTCTGAGCTTATATTGAAACCAGTAGAATCTGGAGTATTATTGATGAATTCAATCCTGGGCTCTATGAGGAACACACAGGGCAGGGTTGAGTGATGAGCTGCTGTATTATAGTGGCAGACCTTCATTGTCATAGATGGTAACAGTAGATGTGTTTGGTGAGACAATAATGACACTGGGATCAGATGTGCTCAAGACAACAGTAAAGGTCTCATCACTGCTTTCCCTCTCCATGTCATCTTCTATGGTGATGCTCAGACAAGGAATCTGCTCTCCCACAACCTCTACACTAACATCTTCATAGTCTTCCGGAGCTGCAACAACATTCAGGTAAAAGCCAAGGATAAATCAACAACACCCTTAAGGTGTATGTATACCAGTGGCAGTTCCTGGATTTGTTGCAAGAGTGAAAGTGAAGGAGGAAGTCACAGTCCCACCAGTGACAGCAGCACACACCATCAGGCTTCCCACACCCTCACACACATTATATTCAGCCAGTTCCATTTGAGCAATGACTGAAGGTAAAAAGTGATAACAGCAGTGAACAGATTTAGAGATTGGTAGACAATGCTCACCGTAGTCATTGTCGACAATGACAACCTCAGCCTCTTCCGTACTAAGTACAACTCCAGAGTCATCAGTGGACAGTTGAACCAAAAACACTTCGTCTTCTTCCACGAAAGGATCGCTCAGAATGGTGACATTGAAACACTGCTCCTCAGTGATGCTACCAATAAATCTCCTTCTTCGCTGAAACTTAAACTTCAGCACTCTAAGCTGAGCAAGGACATCAGAATAGTCTTCACCAGCTGCAGAGGTGACAAAGGAAGAGTGAAAAATCTCAACCCTGTGTGAGTCTGTCTCACCTATAGCAGTCTGGCTACTTGTGGTCACATAGACATCCACATCTCTGTCAAGCTCTCCAGCCTCCACACAGATTTCAACGATGCTTACTTCTCCATTTTCATCCTCTTCCTCCACTTGATATACACTCTGACTGAAGCCAATTATGACAGCTGTAAGGAAAGTTAGTTCCATTAATTTTTATACCATCACACACAGTAATGGTTGCTATTAGAAAAGAGGTTGAGACAAGAAATGATGCATTGATGGAGCATTGGTCAACTAACTCCCATCTTCAACAATATAAACTGTTGCATAGTAGCGCTTTATTTCAAGGCGCTCATCCCGAGTAGTCAAAACGACTGAGAACTTCTCGACGTTCTCCAGAGCATCTCCAGTCACAATGCTGATGTTCACACAATGTCGCCCTCCATCGCGGAATGTGAGGCTCTCACTCAGTGGATAAAAGTCAGCAGCTACAGGAGAGGAATAAGAAGACTGAAAGAATACGCAATGAAGAATTGTATAGGCTTACCAGTGGCAGTACCGGGAATGGTAAAGAGATAGACTGTCAGGTAGTCTTCGAGAATACCATCGGCATCCACACAAATTTCTACAGACCCACTGCTCTCCTTCACTTCATACACTGACTGTGAGAAGTTGGCACAGGCAGCTGCAATGAGGTTAACATAGAATGCAAGATGGTAACAGGTAGTTTGTTCTAGCTCACTGTCCTTGTCTGTTATTTGCACAAATGCAATTTCTGTGTGTATTTTCGCATCTGCATTAAGCAAAGCCGAAAAGAACTCTTCCTTTTCCACAATATCATCATCAAATATTGGAATGTCAAAGTAGACTCTGTCTCCAACAGTTGATCCATTGACAAAGGTTTGCGTCAGTGGAGATGTTCCATCAAAGTCTGTACCAGCTGCAAGAAACAATCACCTACTGAGGCATCACAGCAAATGCCTCTGTTACCAGTGGCAGTGACTCCCGACAAATAGAGATGAACCTCAAGATCACGTTCTAGGTTGGATTTAAGCTCAACACACAAAGACACAGTTGTGTTGTCCTCATATACTTCATAGATCATTCTTTCGAGGGTCACTTCAGGCACTAAAGGAAGGTGATGACACAGTATAGTGACATAAGAAATGTATGTAGAAGATGTATTGAGACAGGATAAAGGTAAGATCTGTGTGGGTAAGTGTAGGTATCATACCTGGGCCTGATATTGGGGAGCTGCAGTCGTTGCCAGTAAAGCCGATGTTGCAGGAAACATCCTCCGAGATTGTTACATATCTGTAAGTACACAGCATCATCTACAACGTATGTGCAGTTAGCCTTCAAGGCTCAAGTATTTTACTTGACTATAGCAGTATCCCATGCAGTAATGTTTTCAAGAAGGGGTTGTCTGTATAAAGTCTACAGGTATATGCTCCAACAGTCGCAGACTCCAACAACGTATTACAATCGTGAGTCTGGGTGAACATACTCCATTTCCAGAGCAGGTTTGTCCGTTCCTGGTGGGGCAGGCAGGGATGCCGGTCAGTGTTGGGAGATTACCCACCGAAATACACTGCTGGGAATAGCAGGCCTGCAGCGGGGGGAGAGGGGAGCTAGCTGTGACCGACCAAGGAACACACACAGACACACTGTATGGGACTACACTCAGCATGGGCATTATGCTTTCTACACACTGTAAGGGCATAATGCTTACTTCTGCACATGTACATACATACCGTATGGCCATAATTCTACACGCTGGACAATATCTATGGACATTTCTACAAGAGACACAATATGTTTAAAGACGCTATAATCTTACGAGTCCATTGCCACATCGTGTCCCGTCGGCTACTAGGCCCGGATTCATGATGTCCGTCCCTGGCAGTGGAGAGAACCCCCTATATACACAGGATAAAGGGAATGGTTAACCAATCAGTCAATCAAGCACCTGACTCAATGGTATACTGTATCGTCTTTGTTGTGAAAAACTTTGCTATAACGTCGAGCGAGCAGAGTAAGTTTTGAGGTCTTTACAATATTATGAGGATGCATTATGTTAGTGGTCTTGAGGTATTGGAATTCACCTGCAAAAAATGGTATGTCGTAATTTGTGTGGTGATTATTCTGACGAAAGTGTTGCCGGCGGTTCTCTGATACGTTCCACTCCGGTCACAGAACAGCATCCCACAGTTGGCATTGCTGTGAATAGAGACAGAGACAATCTGTTGTTGCACTACATGTATATATAGTAGGTAGGGTTTTCTTTGGGGCAAGAGGGAGGAGGGGGGCTAATGGGTCTTAGAGAATAAATAAAGGGGGGCACATAGTTAACTCAGTGCAGTTAATCCCTCTCATGATTTGTTCAGGTCCCAGAAACAACCCTAAGAGTTGTACCACCCACCTCGGAGTACATGCAATGTAGGCGGTCTGGGTGTAGCCGCAGTTACCGCCCTCCGTTCCATCAGTGTTTAGTACTGAGTAGCAGCTACTGTCAGCAGGCGTGGTGGCTGGGGGGCAGAGGAGGAAGGGATGTGGGAAAAGCAGTTTTTCTCAAACTGGAACATGTGGGCACAGTGCTGTATGCACTGTACTATGTACAAGAATTTACTGCACACAAAAGTAGGAAAGGAGGAATACAAGGAAAGTTGTGTTATATTACTACACACAAACAGTGCTTTCAATACTCTGGAAACTGGGACATACATACAAACATACCAAAGTGAAACTGGCACTGATCACTGTGCGTCTGGCAGGTCCCGTCGTAGCAGTAGTCGTTCCCGCTGTTACAGGTGGTGGTGTTTCTGCGATGGAGGTCCTGTGGGCAGTCCTGCGTGCCCCCGGAGCAGTACTCGGCGATGTCGCAAGAACTGCTGCTGGAGCGACACTGTGTCCCGTATGGTCGGAGCCGACAGGTAGCGATGTCGCAGCAGGTCCCAGAGGAGCACTCGGCATTCGAGGCTAGCTGACAGGTGTTGGCATTGCAGCACTGGTTGGTACACTCCTGAATGGATGAAGGGAGGGAGGGAGGGGGGTACGACATGCAAACTCTGATAAACTAAGTACTCTAACCCATGCTGTGCATGTGTTATCAATGAGGTCAAGGGAAAGCAAAGGCAAACAACACAACTACTGCTGCGCATGCACACCGATGGTTATGTAACAAGCCTTGCTCTTTCACATCACATTCACTAAGTGACCTGGCCTCACTACATCAGGCAGACATTATCACTGTGTATCTAGAGAGCTGTGTTAACTCTCTAACCTGTGGAGAGCCACAGTCACATGCTTCTCCGTCTTCCTGGATCCCGTTGCCACAGACTGGGTCTCCAACGACCATCGTCGGCTCGTTGAAGAGACAGCGATCCAGGTTTCTGGAGCCTGTGAACCCCGAGTTGAGTTGGTCGATGCTGCACTGGCTCCAGCGAGTCGGGGGGTTGAAGGTGATAGTAGCGGCCATGATGCACCTTGATGTCCCATCGGAGCAGTTGCAACTGCCTGTAGTACGTAGCGCGGAGAAAAGGTGTAAGACGAGACAGTAAACTAATCAGTATGTCATACACCTCATAAACAACTTCACGTTTGAGATATATATTATACTTAATTGCATTTCCACTTTAGATCCCTACTCTCAATACATACAAACAGTTGAAAGTCGCATTCTGGGATCTCCAGAGAGGAACTGTCTAGCTGACAGTGTGATGATGAGGCGAGAGACGACTCACTGGCATCGTCGTGATCCATGTTCATGTTGTGACCCAGTTCGTGTGAGGCGGTGGCGCCCACGGCGGCCACAGATCGCCTAGTGTCCTGGGTGACTCCGACAGCACTGGACCCACACGTGGCCCTCAGGAAGGCTATGCCAATGGTGGAACCGTCCAGGTCAACGTTACTGCAGAGAAAGGCAAGGGGACAGGAATATATTACAATGAGTGTTTGTGCTTCGAGCTGTTTGGCATGAGATCATCTCCAAAGAACTCAGTACACACCGAGCAAAGAGCATGACTATAACAAGTGACTGATCGAAGCAACTGGGTCAGCAAATAGATAGTCAACATGTCACTCACAGGAAATGCATATACGCATCTGAAAAATCAATGGCTAGGGTAGCAACGGAATTCAGACCAAACCTTAGTGCCTGGACCACTCGATCATGCCACTTCGAATAGGGTTGGCCAGACATTTCATTATACACACATGCTATTTCACCCAAATCTAGTCTGGTGATCTGTTGTACTGTATGATGACTCTCTCACGTGAGAAGCATGGCTGCATCGTGCTGGGTGGTGATCTGGGGCTTGTAGGTCCTGAAGTTGTTGAGGAGTGTTTCTGGATTACTGACGACCGATATCTGGTTCCCCGCGTTCCAGGTGATGACGTCCACCAGCGCTATTCTCACATTCAGCACACGAAACAGCTGCAGATGGCGGGGATAGAGGCCACAGCATGTAACAAAATATCTTTGCTGTTCAAAAAACATTAAAGGAAGAAAACTGTCGCGATTCGGTTGTAACTACAAAAATTGTTTCATGTAAATGAAAAACGATTGCCGCCCACAAAATATGACCGAGTTAAACAATTTGGAGGGCCTTCAAAACATAAATACTTTTCTCCCACTAGAGCACACTAAGCAGTATGTTCTGTGAAGAAAAGGACAGTTGATGAAGTGTACGCATAGGTGGTTGTGTGGCTTACGGTGTCCATTTGGTTGGCAATATCGAGAGCTCTAATCACAGTGTTCTCCAGATTTCCATTCTCATTGAACTGCACACAGATGTGAAAAAGGAAGATTATAGTTATAGTTAATGGAGAGTACCACACACACAAAGATGCTTTCCAGCTACATATGAACCAGAAGCATTTATAATGCGGTTAGTGTTGCATAGCTAATGTTAAGTTTGCACAAAGGATTTCGCCATTGTCAGGTTGTAGATACGTACCTGGCTCTGGTCGTTGACAATCACCAGCTCCACAAACAGAAACTGCTGCCCAGACTGTCTCTTTGCCTGCACCCAGAGAGAAAGAGATATAATGGGCAATGAAGTCACAATAAGTAGAGTCAGTCAAGTTCAGTCAGTGGGAACTAGTGCTCTATTTCCCATAGTCCCCCACTAAAAGAAAGACACGTGTGCTCTCCCACTCATAGCTCAGGCCTTTTTTCATACTTCTCTTCCCAAAGCGATTAGTGAAACAGATTTGCGTTCAATGAACCGCATAGGACCATCATACATATAATTTATGGAATGTGAGAAAACAAAGTAGGCGGTATGTTAGTGAATGAATGGCTGGGTCTCAGATTGGTTACTCAGACACTCGAGTAGAATTCCTTCGTTGTTCCTACGAGAAAGTGTCGGTTATCCTAGAGTATTAGGGTATGATGAGAAAATTGTCATGTGGGCAGCAGTACCCTAGTTTACCATTACCATACACACATGTAACACACACACACACACACACGCTGGCAGCATAGTAACGGATAATGCATGATGAAAGTTACAGATAAAGTGTGGATTTCCATATGAATGACTGGACTACAATAATATAGGAACGACTCTATAAAATGAAAATCCCCCTCCATATATTTCCATGAATATAAAAGAGTTGTTTTATTCATAATGTTTCTTGATAGCAAGGTTTATCTGTTGTGACCTTGGTCGTTTTCCCAAATAAACACCATTACACAACTTAAAGCACACATGATCAGAGAGTATTCATCAATATACATAAGTACCCTCAGTTTGCTGCGTTCTTCAGCAGAGAGATCAATGGTGGGATGATGGTCGTGAACACCAGGGTGAGAGCCTGTGGTGTGTGTGTGTGTGTGTGTGTGGTGTTTGTATGTGTTTGTGTGTGGAAGATAAAGAAGGAGAGTGCTAGGGATTGAGTGGCTTTTGTCCGCGGTACACTAATGCGTGAGGTTTTTGAATGCCTATGCACCACGGCCCGATCATCCGCCCGACCGTAGCAACTGGCGACTTCCATGTTAAGTGTCAGGTTTTGTTGTAGTCTTGTTTCATAGCATTGTTTGTATAAGTACCAGTCATCAGGGGAGCACCTCAGCAGATCATTGTGTAGGCCACAGGTTTCGGTCCCTTCACTAGAACAAAGATATAGGGATAGTGTCATGTTGATTTGTGTGTCTTAGCTGTGAAATGACCCCTTGTTCTTTCCTTTATGGTGCTTTGAGCCATCCCTATATCCCCCTTTATTTTGAAGAAAAGATTTTTCTGTTTCCATTATTTTATGAACCACTCTGACTATACAGAACCATCATGCACTAGCTTTTGTATAGAGCTAAATGAAGTTGGATAAGCAGGGACACTGAAACACACCACAAAGCAGTAAGGACTACAGAGCAAACCGCGTGCTGTTGAGTTAACAGGAAATGGCGTCGTTCAGTGTCTACCACCGACGGTGGAGCTAACAGATCAACCGTAGGGACTTGCGACAATTAAGAAAGGATCGCTTGATGGCCCTGCACACCCCCGTGGAACCTGGAGACGTTCAGTGAAATAATCATGACTGCAACTTGTTCCGTAATTTGTTATGAATTGTTTACCCGAAGAAACAACTAATATTCTTCATCTTCTTCTTCTTCAGACCTGCTATCTCCTTGCTTACCGAGGCCTGGACCCGGAGCAAGTCAGGTTCCGAGACATCCTCAGACTGCTAGAAAGAATGCATACGTCTCCTTCCCCTCTAAAGTCACAGTGGCCGACTGGAACCACCTCATGACCCGAACACCAGCTAGAGTCTAGGATGTCTCTCCCTTCTCCGCTGCCCTTCATCTTATCCCCACTGTTGAAGCTGTGGTCGAGTACAATGTTGCTCAGCTCCAGACCAGTAGCCAGCCCATTGCCACCATCAAGACAGTGTTCACACTGGACCCAATGCAGCCAAGGCCCCAGCTAATGATGCAGGGGGACTGGAGGCAGTCATCTGCCTCGCCAAGTCAGCCCGTGTGATGCTCACCTCTACATTCATTTCCAGATGCATATTTATAACTTGTAATGAAGTCCAGTGCTCTGGGTGGTTGGTGAAGAAATGCTACCCAAATCCATTGCCCAGAACAGGGTGAAGACCAACTGGTGAAAGAGTTCAGTTCTCTTGGTGGCTGGTGAAGACATTTTGGAGAAATCCACCCCCAGAGCAGGGTGAAGAAAGTCCAGTTTGTGAAAAGACCTGACGAAGAGCTATTATTAGTCCACCCCCAGAGCAGGGTGAAGAAAGTCTGAAAAGACCACTGTTCTGCTGCTCTGGTGAAGAGGCATGGATAAAACTACTCCCCAGGGCAACTTCTGAAGGAGCAGCAATGTTGAGGGATCATACCTCTATGAGAACTCTGGTCAAGCTGGTGAAGAACATTATTGTTCTGGGCACTGGTAAGGAACATGTCTTCTTTCATGTATGTCTGTTATGCACATGCTCTTCACATCTTAAATACACACACCCTCACGCTTCACGCGGACCACTATCCCTCCGACCTCCTCGTGGTGTGATCTGGGAGCTTCAGCACTAGTACTGATGCTAACGTGGAAAATAGCTATACTTAACTTTAAAACCCAGTACTGCTAGTTTAGGTTGATCCAGTACTCCTAATTCTACCACAATATAGTTCCGGTTGGTTAAGTCACACACCCTGGACGAAATCCTTGTTGGTGATGTAGTTTGAGGAAGAAATCTGGCAGGAGTCGATTTACTGTTCTGTTAAACTTTTAAAAATATTTCTCCCTAATGCTACGGTACACTTAAGGCTCGTTCCGCTCGCCCAAAGAATGCCAAGCATTTCCACTAGTATGATGATTATGATGACACGAAAATCGGAAAATCACGTATGAGCGAATTCTCGCATGAAGAACTGATGGCACGTATCAAGTTTTTGGGCACATGTACAGCTAGATATTGGCCCGTATACTATTGCTAGTGATTTTTGAAGCTTAGTGAGTCATTCTCGCCGAGTTATGAGGCGTTTTGTATGCGGATCACATGAGATTTGACCCGTGCCATCCCTATATAGAGCGTCTACCGACGCTCTAATACCTGCTGGCATCTTATTCCAACCATTGTAAAACATTGGGCTGATTCAACAAAGCACTAGCTATGTCTTAAGTTTCAAACGGGACAAACACACTCTATGTGCGTATTCAAGATCTGAACTGAGAAGATTGTCCTGTGACTACACTTTCAAACCACTCACTGACCAACTATGGCAAGGGTAGAGTGTACGATACTGTGACATGTGGAGGAGGGTTATTAACCCTCGGCGCGCATGCGCAGCGAGGGTTAGAGTAGTTGGGTTTGTCTGTGTGTGTCTGTCTGTTACTCTTCATCTCACTTCTCGGCTGTTTGTTCGTCTCACAAAGGATACGACCTACTTAACGGGGAAATGAAGGTCAGAAAATATGTGCGGTTTTCTCTGAAACTGCTCCGTTCCAAAGCTAGAGCGCGAAAAAGCCAATATGCAAATACACAACGGACGGGACGGCTTACCACGGTCTGATCGATCCGCGTGCTCTGCGTACCTCAGAGGCACAAGAAGATGCAACGCAGGGCGTGTATCGCCTCTCGCATGCTATCTAGTAGTGTAGTTAGCCCGCGTCAGACTCTGCGCGAGCTGGCAAGAGACCACGAGTAACAGCCAAAACTAAACCCAGCCCATCAATTAGTGGTACGGCGCATGCGTTTACTTGCGCGTGCGCGTCACGATGCGCCGACACTTCAGTGCTTTTCATTACAATGTGACTTTCGCTGATGGAAGTGCTCACTGGACGATATAGTTTAGGAATCTGGTGTACAAACAATCGTTTGTATGGTTGACCAACTCCACCATAACTATTGTGTTATGTTGGCTGCTCCCTATCACACACACACACACACATTCAGAGAAAATGAAAAGGACTAAAGTGCAAACCCTCGGCGAACTGCGCATGCGCGGTACCACTAATTGATGGGCTGGGCTTTTCTTTTCTTTACTCGTTGTATCGCGCTAGTAGCTCGCGGAGAGTCTGGCACGGGCTAGCTACAGTAATAGATTGCATGCGGGAGTCGATACATGCCCTTCGTTGTGACTTCTTGTGCCTTCAAGATACACAGAGCGCGCGGACGCAGTCGAGGTAAGCCTGTGCTAATTACCATATTGGCTTGTTCACTTGGTTTTCACGCCATAACTTTAGAACGCAGTAGTTTTACGAAAATCGCCTTTTTTAAAATCAACCCAGTGTAGCACTGAACCCGATCATATCGCTCTATACCTGATTTCGTGCGCGCGGTGGCAGAAAACGTGGTATAACAGACAGAATGACAGACGGACAGACTGACAGACCGACAGACACACTTACGGGACAACTACCGTAACCCTCGCTGCGCATGCGCGCCGAGGGTTAATAATGCAGGAGGGTGGCAAAGGGTATTTTTTTTGTGTGTGTGTCTGTCTGTTACTTTTCATCTCACTTCTCCAGTGTTCGTTCGTCTCACAAAGGATACCACCTACTGAACGGGCAATGAAGGGCAGAAATTTCGAACGGTTTTCTCCGAAAACGCTCTGTTGCAAAGCTAGAGCGCGAAAAAGCCAATATGCAAATACACAACGGACGGGACAGCTTACTACAGCATGATCGATCAGCGTGCTCTGCGTACCTCGGAGGCACCAGAAGATGCAACGCAGGGCGTGTATCGCCTCTCGCATGCTATCTAGTAGTGTAGTTAGCCCGCGTCAGACTCTGCGCGAGCTGGCAAGAGACCACGAGTAACAGCCAAAACTAAACCCAGCCCATCAATTAGTGGTACGGCGCATGCGTTTACTTACGCGTGCGCGTCACAGTGCGCTGCACTTCAGAGCTTTTCATTGTAGTATAAACCACGCGCGTGCTCAGCTGCCCACGCAATTATTGGTAATACTCCACGCGGTGGTTGCGTACATTTACCAGACTCCGTTACGTGGGAGTGGTCCCGCCCCAGTGGTAGTGAGGCACAGGTCGGGAGATTAAAGGGACTGAAACCTGTGACCTACACGATGATCTGCTGAGGAGCTCCCCTGATGACTAGCACTAAAGTGCAAACCCTCGGCGAACAGCGTATGCACGGTACCGCTAATGGATGGGCTGGGCTGGGCTGGGCTGGGCTGGGCTATTGGCGTTTACTCGCAGTCTCCCGCTAGTAGCTCGCGAAGAGTCTGACACGGGCTAGCTATGGTAGTAGATAGCATGCTGTGGCTTCTTGTGCCTCAAAGGTACACAGAGCAAGCGGTTCAGGTCGAGGTGGAGCCAGCATACCATGTTGATCACATCTAATATACGCCTGTGCACCGCTTATTGATGGGTTGGGCCACGAAACTCGGTCCGCGACCGTGCCAGTTTGTCGCTCTCGAACGCAGTCGTTTCAGGAAAATCGCCCTTTCATTTTTCAGGCTCGTGTAGTACTGAAGCCGCTGGTATCACTAATGGGCAGCCTCGTAGCCTGTAGTGCCAGAATAAGCGTCGACACACACACACATACACACACACACTTACACACACACACAGAGTAAAAAAAATCACCTTTGCTATCCCTGTAATTGTAGTAAAAACCACCCACATGCTCAGCCCCCCACACAATTATTGGTACCGGTGTGGTGGTTGTAAGAAGATGCCAGCAGGTATGACGCAAGGCAGGTATATATGTGTATCATGTCTAATCTTGTCACAACAAGGCAGTAATGGTGTAGGTAAACTTCCTGTGCATGCATACTACCTTCTTCTACCATCACAACCTAGAATAGGACTTACAAAAACGGACGAACTGAACGATAGCATGACAGACTAATAGCTTAGCAAGACAAACCGACAGGACTACGGATACCAGACTCCGTTACGTGGGAGTGGTCCTGCCCCAGTGGTAGTGAGGCACAGGTCGGGAGATTAAAGGGACCGAAACCTGTGACCTACACGATGATCTGCTGAGGAGCTCCCCTGATGACTGGTGCATTAGATAGATGACAGACAAACAAGACAGAGAGACAGGGTTTGCTAGCTGTTATGTTTTGTGGGCACATGTACCAAATAATAATAGTATGTGGAAGCACACTGTGGTTTGTAACTCCTTGCACAGCCTGAGTGTATGTCTAGTGGCCCGGTGCCTTGATGACGCCGACAAGTCCCCGTCTCTGTCACTACACCTAGTTCCCCACAACTCTCCCCCTCCTTTCTCTTCTTAACCCATACCAAACAGACAAACCAACTACTGTAACCCTCGCTGCCCATGCGCGCCGAGGGTTAACAATGTTATGAAACAAGACTACAACAACCTGACACTTAACATGGAAGGGCCGGCAGTTGCTATGGTCGGGCGGGTGATCGGGCCGTGGTGCAGAGGCATTCAAAACCCCCACGCATTAGTGTACTGCGGACAAAAGCCACTCAATCCCTAGCACTCCCCTTTCTTTATCTTCCATACACAAACACACACACACAGAGTAAAAAAATCCCCTTTTCTATCCCTATAATTGTAGTAAAAAACCATGCGCATGCTCAGCTGCCCACACAATTATTGGTACTCCACATGGTCACATAATGCATAACAATAGCCGTACTTCTATAACTGATATGCTTCGTCGCAGCTTTGAAGCTCTGTTTGCCAATAGATAGAGTTACTACATATGTACGGACGTACCACAAGTTCCGTTGCTGTCCGAGAGCTCTGTGTCCAGGTAGATAGCATGCGGTCTGGTAAGCTGCAGTGAACAAGGTGCAACATGAGAATTCTCCATAGTGTGCTAATTGCTGTAGCTCTAACATTGCTTTTAATGTTGTATTAGTGTGGTACTTGTAGTAAGCTAACCAGATCAATCAGATTTTTTCCACGCTGGAATGTATTGGAGTCACCTCTAAGAGGCTCGATGTGATAAAATTCCTCACGGTTTACTTCTGCGCCATGTACACCAAATGTCCCCCTAGACATAGCAACACAAACACAAAGAGAAGGGTTTGTGACCCAGATTGAGACATAACGCCATATTCCTTCATACTTGGAACATCACAATAAAAGTATCCTTTCTTGAGTTTCCTACACTTCTACACTAGTACGTTTCCTAACTAACCTAAGTTTTCCCACACGTCTAATGCATGCTCTGTAAGGAGAGATGTGTTATATCACCATTGTGTGTTGTATCACTATAATATACGCATGCGTGATGGGGTGACGTGGGGGCTCGTGTGATCTAAATTTGTCGCCATTGCTGATCAATGTAGTGCACTCTTGGTCAGGCTGCAAGCGCACCGTAGCCTGTCACAACCCAGCAGAACTCGTTGCATGGTGTCAGAAGTGAGATTGAGAGACCCAAAGCCCCTAGTTAACACGATCGAACCGGATTCACAGATGGCGACCGGCAACTATACACTACCGCCCCCACCACTCGAGATTCACAGCGATCAGGCAGGGGAGAAGTGGAAGCGCTTCAGGCGAGCTTGGGACAGCTACTCGCTTGCCACCGGACTAAGCGACAAAGCCGAGAACGTCCATGTAGCGACACTACTGACTACTAACCTAAGTTTGATGTATTTTCCCACACTTCTAATGCATGCTCTAGCGCTGCACTGTGTAGAGTACTGAAAGACATGCACCATGCATTTTCTTCTGTATTAGCCATAATAAGAGCTAGTGTTTACAACTTCATAGATCTGATTGTAAGTGCCTAGCCTCGGACTTACGATAGTCCTTTGCAGAGGTTGACCACGACCTGCCAGTCTGGTCTCTCCGACACCTCACCCTGGTAGAAGCAGTTGGTACGACCCTGCAACACAGTGGAGAGCATTGGGAAACAAAATTCATGAGAGACATGAGATGCTTTGTAAGTGGTATTTTTGCTACCCCCCTCATTAGTTTATTAAGTGCCATGTGTTTATGTTGCTGTTTTTGATGCTATAAAACAGCTCAGTATAATTGTCCAACTTAGTCTCTTGGCTTGTGGTTGGAATACGCCAGCCCCTCCCTTTGTCTAGGTGACCGATAGATCTAGTCTCGTTACACCACAAAAATGGCCTGGAAACAAGGCTATGATCAATCAATCGTCTCACCTTGTCAATGACTTCTTTGCCATTTTTATCAAAGTAGTGGGACTTGAACGTTCGTGGTATGAGAACCCTTCACAGTGGGAAAAAAGAGCTCCATAAACCCTTGCCTGGGTACAACAGCTGACTAGGGTGCTCAGCCTTCATTGCTAGGTACCAATACTTACCCATTCAGCTGCAACTTCAGAGTAAAGTTGCACTCTTCCGTGGCTAAAACCACTGTCAGGGACTTGGGAAAGAACTGTGGATAACAGAATACGAGCAATGAGTATCCTGGCAGCTCTGATCTCGCATGGTGCTCACTTCCTCTCCTGGGTCCTTCTCGACGACTTGTGGCAACACTACACTGTACCTCTCCACCGTCTCTGCAGGGAGGAACCGCTGGCTGGTAGACACAGGCTTCACCTCTAGCAAGAGGAACTATCCCCACTCTTATTAACCCACAGCGAGGGTTACGATACTTGGTCTGTGTGTGTGTCCGTCTGTCTGTCAACAGCTATTCTCGCACTACAGGCTACGAGGCGGCCCATGAGCAATACCAACGTCTTCAGAACTACGCAAACCTGAAAAATAAAAGGGCGATTTTCCTGAAATGACTGCGTTCGAGAGATATGCCGTGAAAACAAGCGAAAAGGCCAATATGCATATTCGCACCTGCTTCCCTCGACCGATCCCCTTGCTTGCGGAGGCACAAGAAGTCACCCACGAAGGCCGTGTATTGACTCCCGCTTCGGCATGCTATCTTATAGTGTAGCTAGCCCGTGTCAGACTCTCCGCGACCAACTAGCGTGGAGACCGCGAGTATATTATACCTCAGCAATGTACTAAAGCCTGCCCATTCAGCCTGCCAATGAAACCACAACTGTATCTAAAGATGCCAAAACCTAATTACTGTGTATTATGTCTGTACAGCCCCCTGCTACCAGCAGCCCATTAGCCATTGGTTACTATGCTAGATCTTCAGTGTTTTAGTGTCCCTGCCTAGGTATACCCAACTACATGTCACTACAAATGATAGCGTCTAGTGCTTCCACTTTTCCCTGCAGTTACATGGTCAACCTCTCAACGACAAAATGCAGTGCCTTCATACCAAGCAAGTACACTTAAAAAATAGTGGAAACAAGTCCCTTCTGTGTATGGTGCATGTTGCAAGCAACATCAAAGCTCCGACCTCCACATCCAAGTGCCGACTGACCACTTCTGAGGATGCGTGGGTGTTTTTACGAGGTAATGCCGCAATGCCGCCGGCCTACCGGGTCAAAGTTCACAATTGTGCGAGTTTTATTGACCTTTCTAGAATTACAACATTTTGTGACCGAAAGGGATATAGGGATGGCTCGAAGCACCCTAGTAGATTAAGCCATAGTAATAGTAGTTCCTCTCGACCCTCACCGGCGACAGGGGTGTTTCATTATACGCAAGAGCTCAAGCGGTTCCACACCAAAATCATGTCACACGACGACACCAGATGCTAAAAATGCCGAATAGTTACACAATTTTGGCTAAAATAATCGGCGATTGGTGTAATGTCGCATGACGTTGGCTTGTTTTACGGCACTCACCACTCAGTCAGAGTCGGACTGCCAGTGGCTCGCATCAGCATGTAATCAATCTCCACATGTCTATACATAGCCAATTATTTACTGCTATGATAATATAGCAAACCTGTTTGAGCATGAGCAGCAGGGAAGAGCAGCAGTCCAGCCAGTGCAATAACCGCGGCCATATTTACCAGCCGCACATTCATCTCCACAAGCTGCTTTCGCACTTTGCAAAAACAAGGGCGATTTGATTCCTGTGTAGCTAAAGCTCCTTGCCGACTGTAACTGTGAGTGGCTCTCGGCATATTTATGTAGCTCCATCTGTAAGTGCAGGGACAGGCTAGCACCAGAAACAATATGATACTCTATAGGTATGCATACAATAGCTATAGGAAGAAGTTCATGAGAATGTTAGATAACCTATAGTGACAGGAAGGTACTGGCCCACCTGGTATGGGAAAGACCAATTGAAGTGTAACCTGATAGAAAGGAAAGCCAATTAGCGAGGCAAACATTTATGTCTCCTTTCATAACAACATAGCTGACGTGATTGAGGTGACTCGAGTGTGATTCACTGCACATGTGAAATGCTAGGTGAACACGCATAGCTATCTGCTTCATTATTTTGAAAGTTTGAGGAACAGATGGCGTTCAGTAAAGTGCATTAGCTATGTGTATGCCACTTGGCTTTGCATGTTAGTTTATTGTTCTGTATAATTACATGCTAGTTCTTTTACTTTGTGGGAAAGATCCCACAACTACGTAGGTGCTAACGTAATAATGATTATACAAATTGCTACAACACTACAACATGATGAGTGAGTCTGCTATGACTCTGTGTGTTGTGTCCAATAATTGTGGTATCCGATGGTATACTGACGTAGTTTGGACAGTCACCATGCGTATCTCCTTAAAAACATGCATAAATCAGCTATTAACACCTATTATTATAAATTCTTATTGACTTATTGAAGCACTGGACTTGTTTAGTGTTAAGATGACTTCTGAGTTTTAAGCTATAGCTATTTGGTCGACTTTTGGTCTGCTAAAATCTGTTTTTGCAGCATAGATCCACGTTTTTGACAGCAAAAATGTGATGGTTTGGCATGCTAAAGTTTGGCCGACGGTCCTGTTTTGGTGATCCCCTGGCCACTGTGTGACAACCCAATGCCCTCGGTGCACTTGAAACAAGATCTGTAATTGAAACCTCTTCATTCTTGACTGATTATTTGTTGTCATTCATTTCCAAAAGCTCTAGGATAGAGTGACATGGAAACCATCTTGTGGTCCTTCTGACACTGTAAATAGAGGCAACAAAATGTGGTAGCTAGACATTCCTGAGACTCCTTTCTATATAGCTACAGTTCAAACTGTTACTGTAAAGCTCCAAACAGCAATACTACTACAAGTGGAAAAATCATTTCTTCAAAATGAAAGGGGGATATAGGGATGGCTTGAAGCACCAAAAAGGAAGAAACAAGGGGTCATTACACAGCAAAGTTGCACAAAGCTACATGACACCATCCCTATATCTTTGTTTGATATTGTTTGATATTAAACTTTGCTTATAAACAATAAAACAAAGATATAGGGATGGTGTCATGTAGCTTTGTGCAACTTTGCTGTGTAATGACCCCTTGTTTCTTCCTTTTTGGTGCTTCAAGCCATCCCTATATCCCCCTTTCATTTTGAAGAAATGATTTTTCCACTTGTTTCCACTATTTTTAACAGCTTCTGGCAACACTGCATTTATTGTTACAGTCACTCTGATGTTCATGGCTATGTTGTAGATAGGCTACCGTAGACAAATTGAAAGTAGTAGCTAATGGGGCTGCTAGATACCATGTATTGTCTTCAACAAGGATGTAATTAGATTATTGCACATGGTTGTGGTTTCATTGGCAGGCTTTGGTAATCAGGCTACAACCTGGGGGGGACAAACAATGAAGGCCCATTTGACTGAGTGCCCCGCAAGGCGCGCGTAAGACTGTGGCAAGATGCTCTTCTTGCATATCAACAGCAAGATAGCCAGTTGCAAATGTGCACACTTACTTACAGAAGGTATTTGAGGCTGACAGTTCCTCTGCAGGTCTGCCAACTCGCCCGGTAGAATACGCTCGCAAGCACATTGGACAACGCCCCTGCCTGGCGCATGCGCGCTGATCACTGGTGCTGAGTAAGCAGCAAATGGCGTTGTTCAGGTCGACCAGGGAAGAGCTCCATGATCTACCGTAGTGACTAGCGGCAAGAAAGAAACGATCGCTTGATGTCCGTGCACACCTCCGGCGAAATTGGAGACCTTCAGTGAAAAAATCTGTGCTTGAACTGGTACTGGTAAGGAGATAGCGGGTTTAAAGAAGAAGAAGAAGATTAAGAATATGACGACACGAAAATCGTGAAATCGCGTATGAGCGAATTCTCGCGTGGACGACTGAAAGTGTGTATGAGCTCTTGGGGGACATGTATAGGTAGATATGGGCCCGCAGACTATTGCTAGTATGTTTTGAAGGCCTAGGAAGTGATTCTCACCGAGTTTTTAGTCGTTTTGTACGCGGATCACGTGAGATTTCACCCGTGTCATCCCTATATAGAGAGTCTACCGACTCTCTAATAAACAGCTACACTACATAGGACCAAAGACCACACATCCCAGCAGAGCAATGGTGGGGAGTATACATGCAGTGGTGCTAAGCCAATGCAGTGCGAGCCCTTGGGGCACTACAATGAAGGTATGTATAGCGAAATGTCTGCATACCTTGCTGATTATTTGCAGTCATTCATTTCCCAAAACTTTAGTATTACGTTAACAGAAGCATTACGAAGTCCAGTCCCCCACATTCTACCTGTTGCCTGGCAAAACATGTCTCACTAACAATGACAACTATCACCCACTGTCCATAATTGTGGTCACGCAGGATTTGTGGTCCTATAGCCCATCACTATGAGAGTGCACTTGTGCCATAGGACAGTGGTTTGAGGTTTGCTTTTCTTGTGTTGTAATCTGTTAAAGAGATATGAACCCCTACCAGCTGAGTTGTCCTTGTAGCTGAAGTTTGTAGAGCGCTCGCCTAGACCGCTGAGTGCCGTGGGTTCGAATTCAACCCAAGGCAGCTCTTCTTAGTTTTGCCTTTGCCTTGTTTTTGACACATACTAGGAAAAATGATGTAGAATTATTCAGTGCAGCTACAGTACAATATAATAGAGAACATGAAACTACCAAGACAGCTACAAACTAATAGAATCTGCTCTGCATCTTAACAGATATCTCTGGAGAGTTCAATTGGAAATTAAAATGTCAAAAGTAAATGTTCGTTGTAAACGCCTGCGGCACAGACGACTGTCAACAGATGGCTCGATCGGGCGAACTGCAATGGCCCATGTGCCACTGGAATCAAACCCAGACACAGTCACCTCTCCATGACCAACTATAGGATAGCTAATAGATAACAAGAAGAACTGTGGTGATAGCTATAGCCCAACCATTATCCACAGAGCATGTCACAGTAAATGGAGAGGGAGCCTGAGTAGCTGCTGTAGAGCACATGAGGCCAGTCACGATATTGTCAAACTCTCCAGCACTCGCCCTTCTAATGCTGAGCCCAAAATCAGTGACAACATTGTCAACAGATGGACCTGTTCCTTCAAACAGTACAGTTGCACTATTCCCATCTACAGTTGCTTGCTCTACTCCTCCATTGATTTGATGTACATCACATACTGGGACGTCTGTTGTGAGAGAAACCACAACTATCAACATTACCCTGTATATACACCACCATTGGCTCACCAGATCGAAGAATACGGGACAGTGTTTGACTGTTTCCACAGAAGCCACTGCCTGTAATAAACAGAGTGCGAGCACCATTTCGCTCTTGTGTGAAGGACACAGAATTTTCACCTAGCAGAGATAGATACTTTGACACATGAAAATGAAATAGGCAGAGTGGCTCACAGGCAATAGATTCTCCAGTTTGACGTATGGTACACATTGTCTGATTGATGCAGCCCTCTATCTGAAATTCTGAGCTTATATTGAAACCAGTAGAATCTGGAGTATTATTGATGAATTCAATCCTGGGCTCTATGAGGAACACACAGGGCAGGGTTGAGTGATGAGCTGCTGTATTATAGTGGCAGACCTTCATTGTCATAGATGGTAACAGTAGACGTGTTTGGTGAGACAATAATGACACTGGGATCAGATGTGCTCAAGACAACAGTAAAGGTCTCATCACAGCTTTCCCTCTCCATGTCATCTTCTATGGTGATGCTCAGACAAGGAATCTGCTCTCCCACAACCTCTAAACTAACATCTTCATAGTCTTCCGGAGCTACAACAACATTCAGGTAAAAGCCAAGGATAAATCAACAACACCCTTAAGGTGTATGTATACCAGTGGCAGCTCCTGGATTTGTTGCAAGAGTGAAAGAGGAAATCACACTCCCACCAGTGGCAGCAGCACACACCATCAGGCTTCCCACACCCTCACACACATTATATTCAGCCAGTCCCATTTGAACAATGACTGAAAGATAAAAAGTGATAACAGCAGAGAACAGTTAAAACTATAATAATGCATCACTCACTGTCGTCATTTTGAATGGCAACACGAGCTATTGGAGTAGGGATTATTACATCTGAGTCAGTTGAACTGAGCTCGAGACTGAAGAACTCTAGTGCCTCCTCAGGCTCCATGTCATTCACAATGTCAACAGTAACACAAGTTGATGTGGTGCCAGCAGTCAAGGTTAAAGACTGGGAACTGAGGACTCCGTAATCCGCATCGCCTGTAAGATGAGATCATCATTGCCTACAGGACATGGTGATGATACCTGTAGCTGGCGGTGGTGTTGTAGAGTCTGCAGTCGACACAAAGACCTCAATGTCACGGCACAGAGTACCAGCAGTGACCACCACACAGGCCATGAGTGACCCACTATCCTCTCGTACACTGTACATTCCCATGTCCCAGGCAACTGTAACATCTAAAGCGGAAGTTTTGAGAATAGTTTGGGCCATACAACATGCAGCAAGCCGAGCTAACTGCTGTTTAGCGTGTAGTTACTCAAGCTAAACAACAAACTGGACTCCGTATGATTATGTGCAATGTGTACTTGATGTTAATGAACACTGTTTATTGAACTCACTGTCATTATCCTCGATGGAGAAGTGTTGCAAAATAGGTTCGGCATTATGCGTGATCTGTTGCCTTGTCACTCCTCATGATCAGTGATACACTCATAAATAGCCAAGGGTCCCAAGGCTAGAGTGGCAGGGTTTAGAGTGAGCTAGGTTTGAATTGACCGATCAGATTGCAAAGGCGAGGTTTACTAAATCCCGTAGACGGGGTTTACTAAATAGTAAACCTACAGAAATGAAAAGCACTGAAGTGCAAACCCTCGGCGTACTGTGACGCGCACGCGTAAGTAAACGCATGCGCCGTACCACTAATTGCTGGGCTGGGTTTAGTTTTAGCTGTTACCCGTGGTCTCTTGCCAGCTCGCGCAGAGTCTGACGCGGGCTAACTACACTACTAGATAGCATGCGAGAGGCGATACACGCCCTGCGTTGCATCTTCTGGTGCCTCCGAGGTACGCAGAGCACGCGGATCGATCATGCCGTAGTAAGCCGTTGTGTATTTGCATATTGGCTTTTTCGCGCTCTAGCTTTGCAACGGAGCGTTTTCAGCGAAAACCACACATATTTTCTGACCTTCATTGCCCGTTCAGTAGGTGGTATCCTTTGTGAGACGAACGAACACTCGAGAAGTGAGATGACGAGTAACAGACAGACACACACACAGACAGACAGACAGACAGACAGACCCAATGAAAAGCATAAAGTTCAAACCCTCGGCGAACTTGGGATGCGCGGTTACCGCTAATTGATGGGCTGGGGCTGCTATTAGTTTGCGTTTACTCGTGATCTCCCGCTAGTAGCTCGCAGAGAGTGTGACACAGGCTAGCTACAGTAGTAGATAGTATGCGAGAGTCGATACACGCCCTTCGTTGTGACTTCTTGTGCCTTCAAGATACACAGAGCAAGCGGACGACCCGGTCGAGGTTATAAGCGCATGCGCATTTTTCCGCAGCGATAAAAATGGCCGACTACGCATTAGCCGTACAATGGTGGAAGCCGCCTCTAGCTCTGCAACGGAGCATTTTAAGAGAAAAACCCCCACATATTTTCTGACCTTCGTCGCTCGTTGGGTAGATGGTAGCGTTTCTGGGACGAACAGACATTCGAGAAGTGAGATTGAGAGTAACAGACACACACACACACCTAACTACAGTACCCTCGCAGCGCATGCGCGCCGAGGGTAACTACCGTCACCCTCGCTGCGCATGCGCGCCGAGGGTTAACTACAAAACCTACAGTTAAAACTGGAAACAACAAAATGTACATGTAATCAACAACTGAATCGCGTAGTCCACGCGCACGCGCAGACCCCCTGCGCGCAGAACCGTCACGCGCACAACCAGAAAAAGAAGGCGGAGTCGCTACCGCGTGTCCTCGGCCGCTTCGCTCTTCTTGCACTGCATTTTCTGGCGCTCTGAGCCAGTCTCCATCCATTCATCGTTAGAAGCGCTCCGCCATACGAAAGCCAGAGCGCTCAACATGAAGCGCTCACTATAAAATAGTTAACCACGCGCCAGTAGAAAGCCTCGTGCCCCCCGGGGTGTAGCGCATGGATTTCCCCTCGTTCCCTTAGTCTTTAGTTGTGTGGTATATACCTGTCTGTTGACAATGTGGTAGTTGACTTGAGGATAGTCCACCAGGACCGTCATTAGTGCTCTCATGAACGACGGACTACAGAAGAACTCCAGATATGCCTGTAAGTAAGTAGAGAAAAAGCTCGGCTTTCTACTGCGCGTAGTTACCTCGAATCAGCGTCTAACTATTATATATACTTACCTAGATGTTTGCAGACCTCTTCATGTAAGAAGCATAAATTGCACAGTAACATTACGTGTAGCGCAGGGGTCAGAGTGAGCCAACCCTCAATATACAAGTGGAAAAATCATTTCTTCAAAATGAAGGGGGATGTAGGGATGGTGTAAAGGATACCAACAAGAAAGATGCTTCGGCTGAAAACAAAAATCATACATCCATCCCTACATCTTTCTTTCTTCAGCTCTGTCGAAGAATGTGTAGGCACTCAGTTTTGGTGTAGGGTATACTAATTCATAACAAATCACAGTTGAGGTTGTCCCATCCCTCTCCGCGACTTCACCTCTGAACCCTGTCTCATAGGTTAGTGGAGGGGAGGTTAAAGAAAGATGTAGGGATGGATGTATGATTTTTGTTTTCAGCCGAAGCATCTTCCTTTTTCATAATTTACACCATCCCTAGATCCCCCTTCATTTTGAAGAAATGATTTTTCCACTTGTTCCACTTACTTATTTGGCACATGCTCAGCCCCACCCTTTTCGCGGTGCAGAGCGGCAAGCGAGGGGCTGCACGCATTAGGGTTCACACACGCGTGGGTGGAAATTTATGCACTGCATATTTGTGACTTGAAGATTTGATCGCACACACACTCACAGTGCATTGTGGGGGAAGGGGCGATGGTCGTGACGTAGTTTGCAATTTTGCGCAATTCTTACATGAGAAACTAGCGGGCACATGCGCAAGTACAAAACTAACCCAACATTCATCATACAAATGCTTTGTTGTGAATTGTGAATGAAAATGTTTTTCTTTAGGAGAGGTCTATTCCAGCTGAAGTGAAAGGTGGAGGCTAGGGGTATATAGCTAGTAGCGACTGGGCAGTAGAAGCCAGAAGTTTGTAGGGTTCAGGTTGTAGCTTGAGAGTGCAGTTGCAGTCCAACCCCTTTGAACATATAGATAGTATGCACCATCAATACAGAGGAGCAGACAGACAATGTAAGGAGTAGGCTTACAATAGGAGTTGTTAGTGTAACAAAGGCTAGGTTGGAAGTGGGATAAGGGTGAAGGAATGTACAAGTCAGCAGTGGTGATAAGGGAAAACACTTCAGAGCCCCACCTGCCAAGCAACTCCCAGATAATCTTATAATGGCTGGGTATCCTTCCCACTGTCTGTGTTACATCTATAGTGCAGCCATATCAGCAATATTTTCCTTCAACTGGGCAACAGCTGCCTTTTTCTTACCAGGGTCAGCATGATAGGAGGCCCTAGCCGCTTACCAGGGTCTGACTGACAAAGGGATCTACCTCTAGCCTTTATATTCTCGGAATTCTGCACATAATATCTACTGCCCTCCTTTTCAAGCGATAAGGCAAAAACTTGAACTTATCTCAAAGGATGGAGAAGCCCGGGTGGCAGTGACGACAGCAGAGCGGTGGTAGAGCGCAGTGGAGGGCATTGCGATTGAAGAAACAGGGTGTACCAGCCACGACTGTCAGCAGAGAAGTGCTGGCTAGAGGCCGAGGGATGCAGGTGGAACTGGAAGGGGAGTTGTCAGGCACCCCTATTAAAATTGGCAATGAGGGTAATGCAGACAACTTGCCTCGAATCATAATTAACTGTGGCCCCAACTCCAGAAACCCAGACCTTGGAGTAATTTATAATTATTCGTAATCGCAATAGCAAGACTTACTTTTGACCGTGGCGACTCCAGCACAATAGTAGCAGCAGTGCGGACAAGACAGACACGGAGTGTCACGTGGAGGCTGTCTCGTGAAGTCGTGGAAAAAATTCCTCGCGTGGAACCTAGAGAGAAAATTCACAATGAGCTGGATTGCAGCTAGCTAAAGTAAACACAATAGTAACTCATTACCACAAGACGGATAGCTAGGCCCAAATTCGGGAGCAAACTCAGGCGAGCGAAAACAAGCCGCCAAACGGAGCACACGGCTAGGGGATTGATACCATTATTTCTGTCCTTTTTTTTTTTTTTTGCTGCCTTTACTGGTGTATGCAATAATAACCATTGAACCATTGATGCTGAGTTAGCAGCAAATGGCGTTGTTCAGTGTCGACCATGGAAGAGCTCCATGATCTGCAGTAGTGACTTGCGGCAAGAAAGAAACGATCGCTTGATGTCCGTGCACACCTCGGACGAAATTGGAGACGTTCAGTGAAAAAATCAGCGCTCCAACTGGTACTGGTAAGGAGATAGCGGGTTTAAAGAAGAAGAAGATGAAGAAAATTATGATGACACGAAAATCAGAAATCGCATAAGAGCGGATTCTCGTGTCGAGAATTGCAGGGACATATGAAACTTCTGGGCATATGTATAGGTAGATATGGACCCGTGAGGAGATTTTGGGTGTGTTTGAAGACATAGCTAGCCATTCTCGCCGAGTTTCGAGGATGTACGCGGATCACGTGAGATTCACTCGTGTCATCCCTACATAGAGCGTCGGTAAACGCTCTGATAACTCTGCTGTTTCCTTCAAATATGTTCTAAATGTCCTATAGAACAAATCGGCAATAGTGTCAATAGCAGGCCGCGTCACGTAGTAGACGTTGCTATTTCCCTGTATCAATGATATTACCAGTCATTCGTCTCTTGCATAGTCTTCTCGTTGAACCAAATGCCGATCCAACGGCCGATCCAGCTTCCGTAGCACCATCTTTGGCAGTCATTTTATTCGGCTCTTGAACGTTTCATCAATATCACAGAGAGCATCTTCTTGATCAAGGCGGAGTGACAGCATCCAGTCGTCAAACTCCTGAGGTGCGAATTCTTCATCACTAGAATCGTCGTCATGTTCAGCTCTTCCTCCGACTGATAAGCAAAGTCAGGGTCTCTGCTGACGGTATTTCCTTCACGTCCTAGACATCACGCCACTCCCTCTGTGCATTCTGGCAGCCCTCTCCCTTTGGCTGCGTTACGCGACCAAGCCAGACTTATCGGTGACAGTGGTGAGGAACCCGACACAGAGGGAGTAGCATCATCTTCAGCCGGCTGAATGTTAGCTTGCTCGTGTCCAGTCTGGTGTTGTAGTGGGAGCAGTTTCAGTTGCAGGATCGCGCGCTACGCGGCCAGTGCACTTACCGCCTTGGCTATCGCGGCTTGCAGTCATGCTATTGCCAGTCAGTGGAGTAGTCTCATTTCAGGGGTCATCCTGGGTACAGAGAGGCTCGATGAAAGACCAGACTCACCAGTTTTTGACGCACGAACACGCTTCATCGATCGTGCTTAGCAGCTTTCTCACTCTTGTCGCTTGCGGGACCACATACCAGAGCAGCAGTGAACGGCCGAGCAGGTGTGTGTAGAGGTCTCTGTGTTTTCAGAGTCAGACATCATGAAAATACGCAGCCAAAGCCGACAATGCCGGGGCTCTCAGCTTTCTATATACTGCGCGTATATAGTTACCTCGAATCAGCGTCTATGTGACCGTGCACGCAAAAAACAACCGTACGCCGCAATATTATCGAGTACGCATGAATAAGCCTATACCAACCGGTACATAAGCAAAACCACTTTTTTGCCTATAAGCTTCTCGTTAGAGCTACCTACTGGTACCTTTCCTGTCTCCTAGGACGCCTTCTCGCCAGAAAAGAAGCTATTTCTCTGTAGCGGTGGTCAGTGAACGGAGCAGCAGACACACGGACGCTCACGGCGGGGGTGTACGGAAATCTCGTACACACCCGCGAAACTAGGCAGCTGACGCAAATATGGCGCACAGAAGTCAAAGCGTTGCTTCTGATACCTCACTTACGCCAATATCTACCACGACAAGTTCGGCCTGAAGTGTACTCAGCCCGGTATATAGGGCCGATAGAAGCGTCAAATTGCACGCTCACACTGCATCTCTCTGGTTGGCTAAAAATTTCCGGGGAAAAATCCCGTAATGTGATAGTGCGCGGACAAGAATACGGAAAAATTTCATTCGCGTTTTGTATAACCCCGCGTGGCCCGCGTAAAGGGTTTTCCCAAAAAAATATACAAAAAATAAGCGCTGTATCGAGCACATTTCAAGCTTTACAACGATTCAAAAAAAGCTACTTCACAAAAATGCGGCGTAAGGTTGGTTTTTGCGTGCACGGTCACCTATATTTAGACTACGGTAACACGCAATTGACCAATCAGATTCCGAGTTTAGAGGTAACTAGTTACGGTAACTATTTCGCAGCCCTGCGGCACTTTATTCGCCATGGCAACCACGCCTTCAATTCGAGATACGCCGTGCGAGCCCCGAAAGCAAACGGAGCTTCTGGAGAGGTTCTTTCTCACGAAAAATCAGGTACTCGGGTCTTCTAGTAGGAAGTGGTGCATGACTACAGGGCCCTAGCTACAGCTCGTGCCAGACGTGCACGCTAGCAGTGCGAGAAGCGCCCAGCGGCCCCGCCTACTTTCGCGTTAGCGAGCCGCGCCGCCTAGAACAAGCTGCTATAGCCTTGCTGGTACCAGGTAGAGTAGAGTCGTTGTACGCCTGCTCGAAATGGCTGTTGGCCGCTGCAAATAGCCTGCCTACTTCCAGTTCGTCCTCAGCAAAAAGCTCCATACTGTAATCTGTGACCCCAGTAAGCCATCCATCCTCGATGCAGCGTGCGTTGCTAGCGCTTGCGCTGTAGTCTAAGATGGTTAGATGCGTCGCCTTGGGAACTACGCGATTTAGTATGCTTCGGGGCCCTGGTAGTAGCGCCCTCGCTACGCTCGGGACGCCGACAGCCCAGGGCCCTCGGCTCACTAAATCGCGTAGTTCCCGCGGCTCAGCATACATACTTACCTAGATGTTTGCAGACCTCTTCATGTAAGAAGCATAAATTGCACAGTAACATTACGTGTAGCTACAAGACTGAAGGGGTCAGAGTGGGCCAACCCTCAATATACAACTCTGCAGTTTTCCTTCAAATAATAATATGTCCTTAACCGGCAATAGTGTCAATAGCAGGCCGGGTCACGTAGCTATAGACGTTGCTATTTCCCTTGTATCAATGATTACCCAATTTGGCCTGAAGAATCCGAGAGTCAACACTCCAACCGTCCTGTATGGTAGCTAGGTACGGTCCTTTCAGGCTTTCACAGCAACTTCAGTATATAGGAGGCACATAAAACTGTAGTATTATACAGCACCTAAATTATTAGTAGGCGAATGCATGGCATTTTTGGCGAGCGGAAGCGCGCTTACAATTGGGGTCTAATCGTATGAGTCACTCTTGTGTGTGCACAAAACAGTGAGATACATTGCACAGGACCAAGTAGGCCGAAACGACCCGAGCGCAGTAGACAATTCGAGTCGAGTCAAAAACAGTCAGACGACAGCGCGAATCAGGCATAATGAGGCATAATCCGGCAATCTGATTGGTCTTGCAGGAATAGGGAACAAGTGGCAATGTAGAAAAATCTCTCGCTGGACTGTGCAGCAATACTCGATAGCTTCGGAGGTGTTGCGTTTCCCCTGATTCCGCTCGATTCAGGCAGTATTATGAAAATGTTGAAATCCCTTTCGGATAAAAAGAAGCGCGTAATGCTGGAGCATGCGCAGTTGGACGACGTACGGTGACATATATATAATTATTATAATAATTATAGAAAAACCGCGCCGTTCGGACCACTAGGTTAGCTCGCTTCCGCTTGCCAATTATGTCATTGCTTAGTGTTGTAAGCAGTCTGTGGGCTACTGAGTGACAGAGAAGCTGTTGGTATACTGCAATTTCAGAATCAGTTAGTGCAGTCCCACAATTTCCACCCTGTTGCCCGGCAAACACACGGTAGCTATCAACAAAATAATTAATTTGGTTAAGGTCAGGTATATACGCATGGGCTAAATGAGGAACTGGGTATATAAGCATAGTGGGAGGGAGGGGATTAAGGAGTGCCTGTTGTGTGATGATGAGTGTGAAAGTGTCGAGTCATGTGTTGTGGGAGTGTCCAGCAAAATTGTAGTCTTAGGAGCAATTCCTTAGTTGCCCTGCAGGGGGTGCTTGGGGATGATGGGTTTGAGCATTTCCAGTCCCTTGATAGTTTCAGGAAAGCTTCCTTTATTTTGGGTAGTGTGCTGTGGGAGGATAAATTTGGTTCTTTGCTTCACCTTGTTAGAGGTTTTATTTGGATGTTTGGGAGCTAAGAAAGGTTATATTAGGTTATACGGCGATAATCCCAGCATACAACAGACCCAGTCTCAGATTGTGTCTGGGAAGCTGCAGGGTGTCTTGCTCTGGGTGCGTGGTCTATGGCCCTAGTGGTATGGCTGCCACCTGAGTATTATTATCGAGGTCGAGCATGTGTCCATAAGTGAGAAATGTATTCTCTAAGACACAATTGCTCTATGGTCAGAGCAAGTTCCTCATTTGTAGCGGCTCATAGCTACTTATATGCAAAAACACATTATATATAGTTAATCTGGTTATTATTTATTATACATAGCAGAGCATGGAACTATACAATACTAAAAATCAGCTACACAAACTACAATCTAATAATCTGCTCTGCATCTTAAGAGACATCTCCGGAGAGTGTCAATTAATCAAAATGTCAAAAGTAAATGTTCGTTGTAAACGCCTGCGGCACAGACGACTGTCAACAGATGGCTCGATCGGGCGAACTGCAATGGCCCATGTGCCACTGGAATCAAACCCAGACACAGTCACCTCTCCATGACCAACTATAGGATAGCTAATAGATAACAAGAAGAACTGTGGTGATAGCTATAGCCCAACCATTATCCACAGAGCATGTCACAGTAAATGGAGAGGGAGCCTGAGTAGCTGCTGTAGAGCACCTGAGGCCAGTCACGATATTGTCAAACTCTCCAGGTTCTGTTGCACTCGCCCTTCTAATGCTGAGCCCAAAATCAGTGACAACATTGTCAACAGATGGACCTGTTCCTTCAAACAGTACAGTTGCACTATTCCCATCTACAGTTGCTTGCTCTACTCCTCCATTGATTTGATGTACATCACATACTGGGACGTCTGTTGTGAGAGAAACCACAACTATCAACATTACCCTGTATATACACCACCATTGGCTCACCAGATCGAAGAATACGGGACAGTGTTTGACTGTTTCCACAGACGCCACTGGCTGTAATAATCAGAGTGCGAGCACCATTTCGCTCTTGTGTGAAGGACGCAGAATTTTCACCTAGCAGAGATAGACACTTTAAGACATGAAAATGAAATAGGCAGAGTGGCTCACAGGCAATAGATTCTCCAGTTTGACGTACGGTACACATTGTCTGATTGATGCAGCCCTCTATCTGAAATTCTGAGCTTATATTGAAACCAGTAGAATCTGGAGTATTATTGATGAATTCAATCCTGGGCTCTATGAGGAACACACAGGGCAGGGTTGAGTGATGAGCTGCTGTATTATAGTGGCAGACCTTCATTGTCATAGATGGTAACAGTAGACGTGTTTGGTGAGACAATAATGACACTGGGATCAGATGTGCTCAAGACAACAGTAAAGGTCTCATCACAGCTTTCCCTCTCCATGTCATCTTCTATGGTGATGCTCAGACAAGGAATCTGCTCTCCCACAACCTCTACACTAACATCTTCATAGTCTTCTGGAGCTACAACAACATTCAGGTAAAAGCCAAGGATAAATCAACAACACCCTTAAGGTGTATGTATACCAGTGGCAGTTCCTGGATTTGTGGCAAGAGTGAAAGAGGAAATCACACTCCCACCAGTGGCAGCAGCACACACCATCAGGCTTCCCACACCCTCACACACATTATATTCAGCCAGTTCCATTTGAACAATGACTGAAAGATAAAAAGTGATAACAGCAGAGAACAGTTAAAACTATAATAATGCATCACTCACTGTCGTCATTTTGAATGGCAACACGAGCTATTGGAGTAGGGATTATTACATCTGAGTCAGTTGAACTGAGCTCGAGACTGAAGAACTCTAGTGCCTCCTCAGGCTCCATGTCATTCACAATGTCAACAGTAACACAAGTTGATGTGGTGCCAGCAGTCAAGGTTAAAGACTGGGAACTGAGGACTCCGTAATCCGCATCGCCTGTAAGATGAGATCATCATTGCCTACAGGACATGGTGATGATACCTGTAGCTGGCGGTGGTGTTGTAGAGTCTGCAGTCGACACAAAGACCTCAATGTCACGGCACAGAGTACCAGCAGTGACCACCACACAGGCCATGAGTGACCCACTATCCTCTCGTACACTGTACATTCCCATGTCCCAGGCAACTGTAACATCTAAAGTGGAGGCTTTGAGAATAGTTTGGGCCATACAACATGCAGCAAGCCGAGCTAACTGCTGTTTAGCGTGTAGTTACTCAAGCTAAACAACAAACTGGACTCCGTATGATTATGTGCAATGTGTACTTGATGGTAATGAACACTGTTTATTGAACTCACTGTCATTATCCTCGATGGTTACAGTGCCACTGCTAGCAAGAAACACCACAGGATCATTGGAGGTCAGTGAGAACGTGAACTGTTCATCATCCTCCAGCTTGTTGTCTTCATCAATGACAATGTCTTCACAGACTTGCGCTCCAACAGCGGATCCAGAAGTGAACACCAATTGTGTGTTTATATGAGGCTCATAGTCCTCTCCAGCTGTTGAAAAGGTAAAGGTTGTACAATTGTACAAAAAATACAGATGGTAAAATTGTTTCTGCTGAAATACGTTGGTGCATGTTCTCTACTATCCAAAGATAGGGACATACTATGCCAACAAAGGATAACATTTTTATAACATGTGTTCAATAGCCCAAAGTGCAACCCTTCTAGATATGTTAATCAAACAACTTTGTCATTCAACATTTAACCATACATGGACACAAAATTAATGTGTCCTAGTAAAACTAAGCACTATACTTTATTTCCGCTTTAAAGAGATACCCATGGTGTCCAAAGGGATTAACATAATTATACAAGAGGTTATACCTGCTGCAGAATCATCATCAGTTTTAAGAAAAATGTCCACGTTAATGGCTAAAATTCCATCTGCTATAATGACACAAACTTGTGCCATCCCACCACTTTCCAGCACGTCAATGTCAGCCGCCACCAAGTTTACGTTAATATCTGAAAAAATAACAATAATTATTGTTAGGACAACCCACCCAATGCATAGTCCAATAATACAATGAAGGTACGGTCAGAAATCAGCGGATTTGGTCAGGAAAGACCACCTCATTAGCTTTTTTCACTCTTGGGCAGTGAGGTTGGTCTGTCTGTTACTATAATTCAGGCGATACACAGTGCTACATTGGGATAGTTAAAGATTTTCCCCAAGACCAATGTGTTTGTGAGTTAAGGCATAAAGCATAGGCTTAGCTCCGCCATGTTCTGTCCGTTGGAGACACGAAGATTCATGAAGAGAGAAGTTTCAGATAAGAGCCGCCCTAAGCACTACCTGATGATGCACGAACTGTAGTAGAACTCACTGTCGTTATCCTCGATGGTTACAGTGCCACCGCTAGCAAGAAACACCACAGGATCATTGGAGGTCAGTGAGAATGTGAACTGTTCATCATCCTCCAGCTTGTTGTCTTCATCAATGACAATGTCTTCACAGACTTGCGCTCCAACAGCGGATCCAGAAGTGAACACCAATTGTGTGTTTATATGAGGCTCATAGTCTTCCCTGCTGCATTATAATAATTGACAAAGTATTCACAGTAATGAGAGACTAATGAGATAACTACCTGTCGCCGAATCATTTTCAGTGGTTAGAAAAACAGTAACGACAATGGCTGTAGTTCCATCTGTTATACGGACGCACACTCGGGCTGCTACTTCACCTTCTCCAACAGTGATGATGCAGACACCAAGTCAACCTCAATATCTGGATAAAATGATCTTAAAAGAGTGGTATTAAAATCATTGACACTTACTGTCATTGTCAGTAATAGTGACGTCAGCTCGATCTGGATTAAGAATAACCGAACGGTCTTCAGTTGATCAATGAACAGCAAACACTTCATCATTCTCCACGAAAATATCACTCAAAATTGTCACATTCACCATCCTTGATCAGTCAGATCGATACTGCGTTGAAATCTCAGTTTCAACACCACAAAGTTGGGCAAGGATGTTGGAGTAGTCTTCACCAGCTGAGGATGAGAGAGAGAGAGTGAGAGACGGATAGAGGTGGTTGGTGATGATACCTGTAGCTGGCGGTGGTGTTGTAGAGTCTGCAGTTGACACAAAGACCTCAATGTCACGGCACAGAGTACCAGCAGTGACCACCACACAGGCCATGAGTGACCCACTATCCTCTCGTACACTGTACATTCCCATGTCCCAGGCAACTGTAACATCTAAAGTGGAAGTTTTGAGAATAGTTTGTGCCATACAACATGCAGCAAGCCGAGCTAACTGCTGTTTAGCATGTAGTTACTCAAGCTAAACAACAAACTGGACTCCGTATGATTATGTGCAATGTGTACTTGATGGTAATGAACACTGTTTATTGAACTCACTGTCATTATCCTCGATGGTTACAGTGCCACTGCTAGCAAGAAACACCACAGGATCATTGGAGGTCAGTGAGTATGTGAACTGTTCATCATCCTCCAGCTTGTTGTCTTCATCAATGACAATGTCTTCACAGACTTGCACTCCAACAGTGGATCCAGAAGTGAACACCAATGGTGTGTTTATATGAGGCTCATAGTCTTCCCCTGCTGCATTATAATAATTGACAAAGTATTCACAGTAATTGAGAGACTAATGAGGATAACTACCTGTCGCCGAATCATTTTCAGTGGTTAGAAAAACAGTAACGACAATGGCTGTAGTTCCATCTGTTATACGGACGCACACTCGGGCTGCTACTTCACCTTCTCCAACAGTGATGATTGCAGACACCAAGTCAACCTCAATATCTGGATAAAAATGATCTTAAAAAGAGTGGTATTAAATCAATTGACACTTACTGTCATTGTCAGTAATAGTGACGTCAGCTCGATCTGGATTAAGAATAACCGAACGGTCTTCAGTTGATAAATGAACAGCAAACACTTCATCATTCTCCACGAAAATATCACTCAAAATTGTCACATTCACACATCCTTGATCAGTCAGATCGATACTGCGTTGAAATCTCAGTTTCAACACCACAAGTTGGGCAAGGATGTTGGAGTAGTCTTCACCAGCTGAGGATGAGAGAGAGAGAGTGAGAGACGGATAGAGGTGGTTTGGTGATGATACCTGTAGCTGGCGGTGGTGTTGTAGAGTCTGCAGTTGACACAAAGACCTCAATGTCACGGCACAGAGTACCAGCAGTGACCACCACACAGGCCATGAGTGACCCACTATCCTCTCGTACACTGTACATTCCCATGTCCCAGGCAACTGTAACATCTAAAGTGGAAGTTTTGAGAATAGTTTGTGCCATACAACATGCAGCAAGCCGAGCTAACTGCTGTTTAGCATGTAGTTACTCAAGCTAAACAACAAACTGGACTCCGTATGATTATGTGCAATGTGTACTTGATGTTAATGAACACTGTTTATTGAACTCACTGTCATTATCCTCGATGGTTACAGTGCCACTGCTAGCAAGAAACACCACAGGATCATTGGAGGTCAGTGAGTATGTGAACTGTTCATCATCCTCCAGCTTGTTGTCTTCATCAATGACAATGTCTTCACAGACTTGCACTCCAACAGTGGATCCAGAAGTGAACACCAATGGTGTGTTTATATGAGGCTCATAGTCTTCCCCTGCTGCATTATAATAATTGACAAAGTATTCACAGTAATTGAGAGACTAACGAGGATAACTACCTGTCGCTGAATCATTTTCAGTGGTTAGAAAAACAGTAACGACAATGGCTGTAGTTCCATCTGTTATACGGACGCACACTCGCGCTGCTACTTCACCTTCTCCAACAGTGATGATTGCAGACACCAAGTCAACCTCAATATCTGGATAAAATGATCTTAAAAAGAGTGGTATTAAATCAATTGACACTTACTGTCATTGTCAGTAATAGTGACGTCAGCTCGATCTGGATTAAGAATAACCGAACGGTCTTCAGTTGATAAATGAACAGCAAACACTTCATCATTCTCCACGAAAATATCACTCAAAATTGTCACATTCACACATCCTTGATCAGTCAGATCGATACTGCGTTGAAATCTCAGTTTCAACACCACAAGTTGGGCAAGGATGTTGGAGTAGTCTTCACCAGCTGAGGATGAGAGAGAGAGAGTGAGAGACGGATAGAGGTGGTTTGGTGATTTAGTAGGTCATCTAGTGTAACAGTTCGTCACTTATAATATCTATGCCACCCCTTATCTCGTAAGTGTATGTATGTCAACATCAAGGACAACAGAGAGAATCTTGTTGACAAGCAAAGCGAGCCTCCTAGCTAGTCACCCAAATTGCAGGGTTTTCTGATGAAGACAAGGGGCACCGTCAATTAAGCCACGGACAATAAATCCTCCATAACTCCATAAGAATTTATACATGGCTATTATACTAGGCATCATTATGTTATACATCAATTTCAAGGAGATACCCATGGCGTCCAAAGTGTTTTACTGCAATGTTTTATGCAATTCTAAAACAATTTGCAATCATGTATATTATGTCGTGTGAGAGTCTTTCGCATTTTCCAAAAATGCGTTGCATTCATTGTCACCTTCTGCCGTCTGGCTACTGGTTGTGATATAGATATCAACATCTCTGTCAAGATCTCCAGAGACCTGTACACAGACTTCGAGGATAGCTCCATTACCATTGCTATCCTCTTCCACATTATAGGCATTTTGAGTGAACCCAATCATGACAGCTGCAAGGAAAAGGTAATAATCATATTCAATAACCTGCCATTGCACAAATTCCATCAGCCCTGCACCCATTTACATAGGCGGATGTAAGGATTATCTCATTAAGTAGCCTGTGTTGAACAGACGTTTACTGTCAAACACTAGCTCTAAGCTATAATATACGGTACCAAACAGCATTGTCAACAACTAACCGCCATCTTCAATAACGTTAACAGAGGCAAAGTAGCTTTTAACTTCAATTCGATCATCTCGAGTGGACAGAATAACAGAGAATTTCTCATGGTTTTCCAGGGCATCTCCAGTCACGATGCTCACATTCACACACTGCCTTCCACTCTGATTAAAGGTGAGACTCTCTCTCAGTGGATGAAAGTCAGTGGCTAGAGTAGAGATGTACCGAGATTCGCACAAAAACAATGTAGACAAAGGCTAAGCGTTTTTATAGGAGCTTACCAGTGGCAGAACCAGGTATAGTTAATAGATTGACGATCACAAGGTCTTCAAGACTACCTTCGAGATCAACACAAATCTCAACAAACCTACTGCTCTCTAGCACCTCATATACTGGCTGTGAGAAGTTGACACAGGCAGCTGAAAGAAAGGCAGTGTAGATAAATCACATGAAACTTCAAGTAAAGAGCATTTTCCTCACTGTCGTCGTCCATTATCCGCACAACCGAAGTATTGTGTTTGACTAGCAGGTCTGTGTCTTTCAGAACAGTAACAAAACTCTCATCCGTTTCAACAATAACATCATCGTATATATCAATGTAAAAGTAGATTCGCTGTCCAGCATTCGATCCACTGGCAAAGGTTTGTTTGAGTGGAGATGTTCCATTAAAGTCTCTACCAGCTATTATAAATGTAGAACACATGCAAAATCTTTCAAAACAGGGCATTTGGTAAAATCTCACCTGACGCACTGTCTCCAAACACTTCAAGGTAGACATCGGCATCACGTTTGAGGTTGGACTTGAGCTCAACACACACAGACACAGTTGCATCAAACTCTCTAACTTTAATGAGCATGCTTTCAAAGGCAACCTCGGGAACTGAAAAGGTTAATATGAATGAGTGTGTACTCGACATTTCACCATTATACTAGAGCTAGCGAAATGCATTGAAAACTTGACAAAAAGCAACCATTAGCCACTATTCTGCAACTGGTCCTACATTATTACTTACTTTCATCGTCAACAATGGTGATGGTCAGACTGTCCACTGGTAAGTCCACACACTCCATGTCAGTAGTGATGTTGACTGAGAAGTACTCGTTTTCCTCCACACAATCATCATCATTAATGATAGGGATGTAGAGACGATGAGCAAGTGGCAGGAAATTGTTAAACAGAATCACTTTGGTCACTGACACAAAGTCACTACCAGAGGTTGCTGGAAAAAACAAAATTGTCTTTTATATGCTTTTCTGATTACATTTTTCTAACAGACCAGATCCATTATAAGTGTGTACTGTCGCAGCAACTTCAGAACTTAGCTCTCCCACTAATTCCACCAGAACAAGCATAGCTCCGTTATCCTCTGAAACATAACCAGCTGGGTCACCCAGTGACAGAATAACAGTCACTCCTGAAGAGGAATTTAAAAAGGCATAAAGAAGGCTATTCAATCAAAACCTTATAAAAACCTACTATCGTCATCATGGATGAAAACATCCGCAAAGTATCTAATAATCAATACGGGATCGTCTCTAGCAGAGAGGGCAAACTGGAAGGACTCAATCTCCTCCTTGATGTTGTCATTCACAATTATCAAACTGACACATGCTTCAGTGGAACCAACACTGAATGTAAAACGGTGCTTTATGCCTTCATAATCTGATTCATCTGCAGAGATTTTAAAAATCAGATTTTGCTGCTATAAATTGAAGGTTACCACCTACTCAGAGCTGTGCCATCAAACGTTGAGTATTCAATCTGAACCTCTCGCCCCAGACAGCCATCCACAAGCACAGCACAGATTGTGACCGACTCATTAACTTCACTGACAACATACATACTTTCCTCTACACTGAATTGTGCATCTACAGAGTTAAAGAAACTCTAATAAATTAACCATTGTAAACATGACTTATTACCATCATTGTCCATGATGACAATGTAAGCCAGAGATACATGAATGTCGA